AGAGGTGCAGGTGCCAAATGTCCATCCTCTGCACATGCAGGAGCCCTGTGCAGAGAGGACAGAGAGAGCCCTGCCCAACAGGACCCCAAGCCATTCACAGCCAAGCCTCTGCAGGCTCCAGCCCCTGAGCAGAGCCTTCCTCTGCCTGGAATACAGCTCTGGCAGGGGCTGTGAGAGAGGAGGAGACAGCCCCAATGCTGGCAGGGGCCACCAACACCACCTTAATCCTCTCTGCTCTGCTGCAGGGTGACAGTGGTGGTCCTCTCATGTGCCAGGACAACAACGCTGACTCCTGGTGGGTTGTTGGAGTGACCAGTTGGGGAAAAGGCTGTGCCAGAGCAAAGCTGCCTGGAGTCTACACATCCACTCAGTACTTCTATGACTGGATTCTGGCCCAGATGGGGCTGAGCCCATTTAGAAGTGCTTTCTGAATAGCAGGGTGAGTAGGATCCAGGGCACACTGCAGTGCCCAGCAACTGTTTCCTGCTGTGGCAATGCCTGCTGATCTAAAGGCAGTCTCAGTGTCAAAAAACTGCAATGTCATAACCATGCTCCTCTCCTCTGTGCAGGCAGACAGTGGAGGTGATTTAGATGTTGGAGTAAAGTTTCCTATGGTCACAGGGAACCATCTTTTCAGTGCAGTTCCATCTCCTGGGCAAAACAAGATCTGACAGAATTGGCACCTGCAGAATGAGCTGGAGGGCAGACCTGCCAAGCACAAAGGCTCCAAAGTGGCTCCAAAGGGCTGGAAAGTGCCTGGTCTGAGAGGAGAGTGCTCTGAGCCACCTTGGACTAGAGGAACCCGGTACATCAAGCCAAGAAGGGGATAGGAAAAAAAGCAGACACCTTGGGGACAGTGCTCAAAGCCCTTGGGCTAAGTGTGAGCCTGGGCTAAGGGAACAGATCTGGAAAAGTCCCAGGCATGACACGGGAAACTCCTGGCTCCTGACTGGAGTGCCAGTGCCCCAAGGCAGAGCCAGATTTCACTGGTACTAAGCGGGGATTGATGTACCAGGAGGTCACACTTCCCAGATACCCAAAGGAAGAGCTGGGGTCATTCTGGGGAGAGGAACCTGGCAGGAACAGTAGGAAAGCACACCAGGAATGCTATGAGAAGCAAAGGTGAGTGAGCCAACACCAACTGCAACACCAAGGCTGTGTAAAAATGCTCCAGCAGTAGTAGTGCCCTAAGGTCCCATCTGTGCAGCTGTAGTGCTGTGGAAAGCCTTCTGTGACCTGCATTCAGGAGGCACAGGTGACTACAAGTACCTGATGGGTGCCCTCTGATTCCCTACCCATGCCACACTGGTTTCTGTACCCATTCAACCTCAGGATTCCCCCAGCATACTTGCTGATGTCATGTTCAATAAAGAGCCACCGGCTCCTGCTGCTACACTCAGTGTCCATTTCAAACCCCTGGTGGAACAGCTCCCTGTGCCCTCTGTTATGCAAAGTGTAGGGATTTCACTGCCTCTTGTCCTGGGCTCCTGTCAGCCAGAGCTCAATCTGCAGCTGGCACTGCAGCTGCACAGCCAGCTCCCTGCCCCAAATGGATTCCTCAGCAGCTGCCTTCCCTGGGGACTACACAATCTCATCCTGCAGAAAGAGGGGCTTAAAGACAGCAGCAGCGAGCCTTCTTACAAGGGCAGGTCCTGACAGGACAAGGGGCAATGACTTTACAATGACAGAGGGTAGTTTTAGATGGGATATTGGGAAGGAATTCTTGATTGTGAGAGTACTGAGGCAAAGGAAAAAGTTACCCAGAGCAGCTGTGAATGCTCCATTCCTTGAAATGTTCAAGGACAGCTTCTGAGCCAGGCTCTGGACAACTGGGTCTAGTGCAAGCTATCCCTCCATGCCCATGGCAAGGGGATCAGAGCTAGATGATCTCCAAAGCTCCCTTCTACCCCAAACCATTCCATAGCTCCTCAAATAGTTTCTGCCCCTCCCCCAATGGGCCCCCAATGCCCCAGACACGCCTCCAGCACTCAGAACATGGAACCCACCGCTCTGTGACATCAGCCCCGGCACCGAGGGCACCAAGGACACCGTGGCTGCTGTGGGCATTGCGGCTGTGGCTGTGCTGCTGCACGGAGCCCTCAGTGCTTGCTGCTCACACGAGCCTCTGGCAGCCATGAACTGGCTCGGTCTCCTCGTCCTGCTGACTGTGGCCAGGCTGGTGCACGGGACATGGGACAATTGTGGGTAAGTGGCCCCAGGCCCTGGCAGGGAGCCACGGCAACACTTGGGGCCTTCCCTGCAGGGGCCCCGCCTGTCCCCCATGGCCGGGCCACAGCTTCCCACCCACCATGGGACAGCCTCAGCTCCTTGCCAGCAGCCAGGTGCTGGCACGGACAGACACACACCCCATGGGCTTCCCTGGCCTGCTGTGCCTGCAAGCCCTTGTGGGGAGGGCAGAGGGCTGAGCTTCAGCCTGAGCCACAGCAGGCCATGGAGCAGCATGGAAATTACTTTCTGCTTGCAGAGGGATTTGTGGGCTCCGACCCATGGTTTATGAGTATGAGTACATGGCTCATGATGAAAACGCGACACGCGTTGTGGGTGGTGCAGATGCCACGCCAGGGGCCTGGCCCTGGATTGTCAGCCTAAAGCATCCTGCAATACCAGGCACAAGACATCTGTGTGGAGGGTTTCTCATCACTGCAGACTGGGTCCTCACAGCAGCCCACTGCTTTGACCCAATCAGGTAAGAGGAGCAGGTAATGGTCCCTACTATATCAGCAGGTGCCCTGCCAGCAGTACTATGTGCTACTCCCCTCCCCTTTCCTCTCAGGCAGCCCAGCTGCCACACTGCTCAGGAGAAGCCTGGCCTTGTGCCAAGGCTTCCCAGCAGCTTTCAGCTTGACATTCCCCCAGCCTAACTTGTGCAAGGGCACTCATACCTGCCAGAGCCCTGCTCCCTCTCTGCCTTGCCATGCAGAGGTCTGGCAACTGCTGGGCTTCTGTGGCACATGGCTCTGCTCCCTCTCAGCCCTCTCTCCATCTACCTTCCAGGAAAATTGGCATGGTGTATGTGGTGATTGGGGCCACCCAATTGACTAAGCCAGGACCTGGAGCACAGCTGCGTCGGATTAAGAAGTTAGTGCGTCATGAAAACTATAGGAGAAGTGACAAAAGTAATGACATAGCCTTGCTGGAACTGAACAAGCCTGTCGAGTGCAACCCCTACATCCAGCTGGCCTGTGTGGCTGACCCCACCCTAAGATTGTCGGAGCTGCAGAACTGTTGGGTTGCTGGCTGGGGTGCCACCACTGCAAGATGTGAGTTCCCAAGAGATACTCTGGAGCCAGATCAGCACAGTGGGGAGAGGGTTTGGGCTTCCCCACAGCGGAGGCCAAATCCAAGCTGTTGGATGAACACCTCTGCAGAGATGGGCCTGGCCTGCTCCCCAAAGACAGGGAGCAGGGACAGAGCACCCCTGTGCCTCTGCAGAGGGAAAGCCAAACCTGAGGGAAGGGGATCCCCTCCAAACAGCTACTGAGGGCTCATTCCTTTCTCTGCTCACAGCTCAAGACTCAAGTGATCGCCTCCAGGAAGCCAAGGTCCAGCTCATCGATGTCCAGCTCTGCAACAGCACTGGCTGGTACGCTGGGAAAATCCATACCCACAACTTGTGTGCTGGTTACCCAGAGGGCAACATCGACANTGAATGCGCACCCTCCTGGGCAGCCCGAACACAATGTTTAATAGCGCTTTCTGTGAAGAAATTTCCTCCCAACGTCCAACGTAAGTCTCCCCTGGTGCAGCTTCAGGTTATTTGCTCTTGTCCTGTCGCTAGCTGCCTGGGGAAAGAGGCCATCGCCCACCTTCCCACAAGCTCCACTGAGGTAGCTGTAGAGAACTATAAGGTCACCCCTGAACCTCCATTTTTCCAGGCTAAATAACCCCAGCTCCCTCAGCTGGATTTCATCATCCAGGCCTAATGATGAACAGGCACGGCCCAAAACCCCCATGTTGTGTTGATGAAAGAAAACACCTTTTATGGTTAGTTGAGAACAGGGTTTCTTTCAGTCTCGATTTCTCTTGCAAATACAAAGCGTTTATTTAGATGTAATGTCAACGCATTTCTATTCCTCCTCTGGACACTGAGGAATCTGAGTGATAGCAGCAGTTATATTTGCTGTGGAGTGATATTGGTACAATACTGACAGCTGACCTGTGGCCTCCAAAACCTCCTCTTCGGGAAAACAGAAAGAAGAATGGGTGGGAAGAATACCAAAGGGTGTTTTCTGGACCCCGGGGAAGCACAAATTCCCCTGTGCATAAGACTTCATGAATTTTTTTAATGGATCTTACTTGACTAGCCTTTATATGTACACACAAACACACACACACATATATATATGTATATAAGAATTCTGTTTCTTGTTTTTTCACATGGCTCTTTTATGAGATAGATAGTGATGTGTGTCTTATGTAGCTAAAAGCAGAAAGAGAAAGTCCAAGTTATTCTGCAAGTTTGATTTGTGGTCTAGGTCTTCTACAGGGTCTTTAATACCTTCTAAGATTAAACAAGTTTCTACTAAGAGAAGTTTCATGCCAAAGAGGGCTCCAGTTGGATTGTCCTAAAAGGCACAGACTGTAGCAGTTTATAAACTCCAGAAAATCTTTTGTAAGATATGCAAAGAACCTGGCTTTAATTTACCTTTTGACAACTTTTTAATGTCTTCAGCTATTTTGTTGTATGATGTACTGGTTTAAAACCCAGCAGGAAAGTTAACCCCACTGAACTGCACCTCCTCCTCCACCCTCTTCCAGCAAGTGACAAAACACTTGGAGAGACCACAAGAAGGAATCACAATTTTACTGAAAAACTTTGAGACAATACCCACAAGAGGCTATTCAGCATGGAACAAACACACTTTCTGAAGGGACCCTGGCATTGTATCGTTTTGATAGCTTGAACATAATTGCTTTCGTATAGTGCACTACCCTGTACTATACACTACTAGTAGTTTTAACTTTTATGCTGGTTAAGATTTTTCATTTAATAAGATGTCATAAGGAATAATTAATTCTGTATAAATATAACTGAGGTGGCAGCAATGGTATTCTAAGGTGGCCATGGTGGCTTTATCTAGGTGCCAAGCAGCCACACAGTCCCAACCCCTTCCACGAGCCCAGCAAAAAGATGAGTTTTCTGCTTCCAGCACCCAGGATGTCCTGCTGAAACCACAGCCCTGCAATGAGGTAGGTGGTATTGAATTAGAGAGCGCTAGAAACTCCATCTGTCTTTTCCTTTGTACCTAGGACAAGTAGTATGGGCTCAGTGATTTTGCCCTTGGCGACTACAGAGATATTTTGTGTTTACATTTCAAATCTGTGGCTCCTCAGGCAATACACAGGTTAGACTTGAATTTAAACAAATGAATAATCTATTTCTTATTCACTACAAAGTTGTTCAATCCTGTTTTTCCTAACAGGTGTAGAATTACATGATATGGAGTAGTAAGAAGGATACTCTTTAAAAACAAGATCACAGTGTGGGAAAAGTTGAGACAAGAGGCTGGTAAATTTGGAGATGCACTAATTAAACTTGTAAAGTCTGTAAAGAAAATTATTTAATGACATTTTAGAATTGTAACATGCACAGTCACTAGTAATGTCAACTGAATTAATAAAGAGTATGCAAGAAATTTAATTAACAACATGGTTTGTCATTCTTTAGTGAAGCTTTCATCACATTATGAAAATTCTCCTCATTAGAGAAAAGTGAGCAGTATAAGACTGTCATATCCCTGCCTGGTTTGCTGTACATGAAGAAGTCAAGTTAATAACTACCAAGATACCAATGAAAGTATAAAATAAGGAAATCAATACTCAGCAAATAACCTGACATTTCAAGACAGTCTTGAGCACAGAAAAACTCATATTAACACTTTGGCTACAGAATAAACCTTTTTCTTTATTATAACTTCAATAGTTCCTAATTTTTAATGATTCATTATACATATATAGAAGGCTACAGAAAACAAAACCACTTTGAAAAACATCTGCCATAATTTTAAGGAAAGTACCTAAAGACATTCAGATAAACACTTAATAGCAAAAATTAACAACACATTTCCAGTAAGAAAAATTATTCGCATTGGCATACATCCTACTGAACAAAGGCCTTAATGCAGTTTACAAAAATACATAATTAGGCTACATATGGAATTCCACTTTATGAAATGCAGGTAATGATTTCTTTGGGGTCAATACGAGAAATGACAAGAGGGAAAGGCTTCAAAATGGGAGAGTAGGTTTAGATTAGATATTAGGAAGAAACTCTTGACTGTGGTTGCTGAGGCAACCAGCATAGGTTGCCCAAAGCAGCTGAGGGTGCCCCATCCCTCAAAGTGTGTGAGGACAAGTTTCAGAGCCAGGCTCTGAGCATTGGGGTCTCCTGCAAGCTCTCCATCTCTCTCAATGGCAAGAGGGTCAGAACAAGATGATCTCCAAGGTCCTTCCCACCACAAACCATTCTCTGGTTCTTTGAATCATATTCCTCCTGCAGTGGACCCCCATGCCTTAGACTCCCCCAGTGCCCAGAAGATGGATCCCACCACTCTGTGACATCAGCCCTGGCGCCGAGGGCACCAAGGACACCGTGGCTGCTGTGGGCATTGCGGCTGTGGCTGTGCTGCTGCACGGAGCCCTCAGTGCTTGCTGCTCACACGAGCCTCTGGCAGCCATGAACTGGCTCGGTCTCCTCGTCCTGATGACCGTGGCCGGGCTGGTGCACGGGACATGGGACAATTGTGGGTAAGTGGCCCCAGGCCCTGGCAGGGAGCCACAGCAACACTTGGGGCCTTCCCTGCAGGGGCCCCGCCTGTCCCCCATGGCCGGGCCACAGCTTCCCACCCACCATGGGACAGCCTCAGCTCCTTGCCAGCAGCCAGGTGCTGGCACGGACAGACACACACCCCATGGGCTTCCCTGGCCTGCTGTGCCTGCAAGCCCTTGTGGGGAGGGCAGAGGGCTGAGCTTCAGCCTGAGCCACAGCAGGCCATGGAGCAGCATGGAAATTACTTTCTGCTTGCAGATGGACTTGTGGACTCCGACCCATGGTGTCTGACTCCATACCTCATGACTATGGCATGACACGCATCGTGGGTGGCACAGGTGCCCTGCCAGGGGCCTGGCCATGGATGGTCAGCATCCAGCATCCCAGGATACCAGGCACAAAGCATTTCTGTGGAGGGTCTCTCATCACTGCAGACTGGGTCCTCACAGCAGCCCACTGCTTTGACAAGATTAAGTAAGGAAGAGCAGGGAATGGGGATATCCCCACAACACCAGCAGGTGCCCTGCCACCAGCACCACGTGCTGTTCCCTTCCCCTTTCCTCTCAGGCAGCCCAGCTGCCACACTGTTCAGGAGAAGCCCGGCCTTGTGCCAAGGCTTCCCAGCAGCTTCCAGCTTGACATTCCCCCAGCCTAACTTGTGCAAGGGCACTCACACCTGCCAGAGCCCTGCTCCCTCTCTGCCTTGCCATGCAGAGGTCTGGCAACTGCTGGGCTTCTGTGGCACATGGCTCTGCTCCCTCTCAGCCCTCTCTCCATCTGCCTTCCAGGAAAATTGGCATCCTGAATGTTGTGATTGGAGTCACCCAGTTGACTAAGCCAGGATCTGAGGCACAAGTGCGCCGGATTAAGAAGCTATTTGTTCATGAAAACTATAGGAGAAGTGATATAACTAATGACATTGCCTTGCTGGAATTGGATGAGCCTGTCCAGTGCAGCCCTTATATCCAGCTGGCCTGTGTAGCTGAACCTGCCCTAAGAGTCTCAGAACTGCAAAACTGCTGGATTGCTGGCTGGGGTTCAACCACAAAAGAAGGTGAGTTCCAAAGATGGACTCCTGCCCGTAGAGCAAGCTCAGCACAGTGGGGAGAGGGTTTGGGCTTCCCCACAGCAGAGACCAAAGCCAGGCTGTTGGATGAACACTTCTGCAGAGATGGGCCTGGCCTGCTCCCCCAAAGACGGGGAGCAGGGACACAGCACCCCAGTGCCTCTGCAGAGGGAAAGCCTAACCTGAGGGAAGGGGATCCCCTCCAGACAAGCGAGGGGGAGAACTGGCAAGGAGGTACTGAGGGCTCAGTCCTTTCTCTGATCTTAGGTCAAGACTCAAGTGATAGCCTGCAGGAGGCTAAGGTCCAGCTCATTGATATCCAACTCTGCAACAGCACTGGCTGGTACGCTGGGAAAATCCATACCCACAACTTGTGTGCTGGTTACCCAGAGGGCAACATCGACACCTGCCAGGTAGGAGCGCGCCACGAGCCACTCAGCCCCCAGCAGCACCAACAGCACCACCCCAACACAGCCCAGGACCTGCTTTGCCCGGACACTCAGTCACTCTCCCAGCCCCGGCTACCCCCGACTGCTGTGGGGGCTTCCCACACACTCCCCATCCACACCTGCCTGCACAGGGCCCTCCTTGTGCCTGAAAGCCCAGCAAGCCCAGCTAGTGCTCCTGGCAGCCCAGAGGTGCAGGTGCCAAATGTCCATCCTCTGCACATGCAGGAGCCCTGTGCAGAGAGGACAGAGAGAGCCCTGCCCAACAGGACCCCAAGCCATTCACAGCCAAGCCTCTGCAGGCTCCAGCCCCTGAGCAGAGCCTTCCTCTGCCTGGAATACAGCTCTGGCAGGGGCTGTGAGAGAGGAGGAGACAGCCCCAATGCTGGCAGGGGCCACCAACACCACCTTAATCCTCTCTGCTCTGCTGCAGGGTGACAGTGGTGGTCCTCTCATGTGTCAAGAGAAAAACAGTGACTACTTCTGGATTGTTGGAGTGACCAGCTGGGGAAAAGGCTGTGCCAGAGCAAAGCTGCCTGGAGTCTACACATCCACTCAGTACTTCTATGACTGGATTCTGGCCCAGATGGGGCTGAGCCCATTTAGAAGTGCTTTCTGAATAGCAGGGTGAGTAGGATCCAGGGCACACTGCAGTGCCCAGCAACCATTTCCTGCTGTGGCAATGCCTGCTGATCCAAAGGCAGCCTCAGGGTCAAAAGCCTGCTCTGTCCTGCCCATGCTCCTCCCCTTTGTGCTCATAATCACTGGAGTTTATTTAGTTGTTGAAGTAAAGTTGCCTATCATCACTGGGAACCATCTTTTTGATTGAATTCTGACTCCTGGGCAAGTTAAGAAGTGCCAAGTTCGTCATCTGTAGAATGGGCCTGAGGGCACAAAGGCACAGAGTGGATCCAAAGAGCTCCAAAGTGCCTGGTCAGAGAGAATAGTGCTCTGAACCACCAAGGGTTGGAGGAATCTGGTCTGTTGCTGTTGGACAAGAATTAAGCCACATGGACGCAGGTCAAGATACAATGAAGGAAAAGAGAAATCTTTATTTCTTCTCTCACAATTTATAGGTTTCTGACCACAGCCAGGGATTGGGTAGTCAGGATAGCACCTTTCCAACTGCACTGGCTGTGAGAGATGTCCATCGAGAGACGTGTAACAGAAGAATGTACACATATCTATGTTTATAGTTACTGTCCTGGGAAAGTTCTTTAGAAACTATGTCAACAAGGTCCAAAGCTGAGTTTTCAGGGCAACATCTCACCCTTTTTGGTTTCAACAGAAAGAAAAAATAAGAAAAATGAACAAAGAAACTAGCAACATTCTAAACAATCAAAAGGAAAATAATAAGAAAATAAACAATGCTCCATACAGTCAGAAGGCTGTAATTTCAGGGTGCTATCTCACCCTGTTGTTATTACAAAAAAAAACCCAAAAAACCCACAAAAATAAAGTGAAACAAATGTCTAGCATCAACACCCACTCGTGGATGGGCCATTGGGATGAGCACTCATGTCATCTGCATCTGAGTCCTCACCCGATGGCCCACCCATCCGATGACTTCCAATTTGGTCACGGCCTGCAGCTCACTCGCCGGCCGGATGCTGCCTCTGCGGTTGCAGGTCAGGACAAACACACTTCACAGGTACCCAGCATACCCCAGTATCTGTGGATACACAAGCATACCCGCGCCCCCAAGCCATGAGGTCATAAGGACCCTCCCACTGTTTTGTGACTAGAATCCAACCTTCGCCGGAGGCTGAGGTATCTCATCCAAAGCCCGCAAGGAAAGGTGGTGGTTCAACATGACCGGGTTACTGGAGTTCTGCAGCACCGTGAGGTGATTGAGGGAATATAAAGCTTTTCCCAACCAACTGTGCATTCCCCATTTCTGGTTCTGCAGAACTCACTTTAGCGTATCATGAGTGCGTTCCACAATAGCCTGACCTGTCAGAGAATGAGGGATACGAAACTTGTGTGACACACCCCACAACTGCAGGAACTGCCGCACCTTCTGAGAGGCGTAAACAGGACCATTATCAGTCTTCACAGCAGAAGGCATGCCCAAGACAGCAAAGGCCTGCTTCCAGTGGGCAATGACATCGCAGGTCTTTTCTCCCCTGTGAGCAGAAGCCCACATGGCAGAGGAGTAAGTGTCCACACTGACGTGCACATACCAGAGCCGGCCAAACTCGGCAACTTGAGTGACATCCGTCTGCCAAAGCTCTAAGGCCCAAAGGCCCCTGGGGTTTACCCCTGCCGGCAAAGACGCAGCAAGCACATGACAATCGTCACAAGACTCAACGATGTCAAGGGCCTCAGCTGACGTCAGCTGAAACTATTTCTGCTAAGTATGTGCATTCTGATGGAAGAATCCATGTGACACCTTGGCCTGGCCAAGCGTATCAGGCTGAGGTGCAAACCATGCTGGGTTAGTCAACTTGTCAGCCCTCACGTTACCTTCTGCAATAAACCCCAGTAAACTGGTATGACTCCTCACATGCAGAACGTAATACGGATGTACCCGGGCCTGAATGGCACTCCACAGGGCCTTCAGTAAACAGAACAAGGCAGGATTCCTGACCTCCCTCAAGACTGCATGACCCAACTGTTGGCCTATACCGGCCATGTAGGCGGAATCCGTGACCAAATTGAAAGGTTCCTGTGAAAATTTCTGAAATGCCATGACAGCAGCCCATAATTCCACCAACTGGGCTGACCCAGTCTCACGACTCTCCAAAACTTGCCACTCAGATCCATCCTTCCAGGTAGCAATGGCCTTTCCAGTCCTCCCCGAACCGTCAGTAAAGACAGTAGGTCCTTGCACAGGCTCCTGACTATGTTTGGGCCACAAAGAAAGTTCAGTGAAGTTCGCCACTTGCAAAAATTTATGACTGGGCAGATGGTAGGTGACCTGCCCAGAAAAATTCTCCAGAGCACTTTGCATAGAAATACTTTTTGCAAAGCTCCAGTCAAAATCCTCCCATGGTACCGGGAGCACAATCTGCGGGATCTGCATCCATCAATTGCAAACACCGTTGTCGGCATTTGATTATCAAATGAGCTATCAGCTCAAACATTGCAGTCGCCGTCTTCTGCGGCTGATGGGGCAGGAAAACCCATTCCAGGACATGCAAGGGATCAGACCACTGGCCTGATTACAGATCACAGTGATTCCACTGGCCAATGATACCTGCAGGATACACATCTGGAGTAACAATGAAAAGAGCGACATCAATGGAAGGGTCAATGTGATAAACCTGATGAGCAGAAACTGCTCACTGAACCTCCTCCAGGCACCTGCTGTGCCTCTGGGGTCAGTGTCTGAGGTGACTTTAAATCAGAGTCCCCCTTTAACAGACCAGACAAGGGGGACAGTTGTGCCATGGTCAGTCCCAAATAGGGACGCAACCAAGTAACAACACCCACCAATTTCTGGACATCATTCAGCGTCTTCATGAATGCACAAAAGCACCTCCTGATGTTGGACTGTTCGTTCCAAAATTTTCACCCCCAAATACTTCCAAGGAGACTGTTGCTGAACCTTTTCTGGAGCCACTTGCAGCCCATGAGAATGCAAAGCAGTGATCAGCTGAGGCTGTATCCGCAGCAGTTCATCCTGGGTGGGTGCAGCCACCAAGGTGCCATCCATATAATGATAAATATGAGCATTCCAACCTCCATCGCCCCCATGCTTTCCATCACAGCGTTAACTTTCCAGAGGTCTTGTAACAAGCTCCATTTCCCAGACTTCTTCTTGATGCAGAAAACAGGAGTGTTCCAGGGACTGGTCGAAGGCTTCAGATGACCCTGGTCCAACTGTTCCTGCACCAATTCATGGAGGGAGATTAATTTATCATCAGAGAGGGTCCACTGATTCTCCCAAACGGGTTTCTCCACTAACCAACGTATGGGAGGTGTAGGACAGTCTGCACCTTCCAACACAGTGGCCCCATCAAAAATCCATCCCCATATGCACTCCCTATGTAGCCAGAACGTCCCTCTCCCAGAGTGTTAACCGGGAATCCTTCGTGACATACGGCCAAACCATGGCCGTGTCTCCCTCGGGGTTCATGATGAACACGGGCCTTCGGCTCACATAGCATCGTGCTGCTCCTGCCAACCCCACGACAGACATCTGCACCAGGTCCAAGGGCCACTCTGGGGGCCAGTCGGCAAGTCTGACAATTGTGATGTCCAATTGTGATGTCCACCAGTGTCAAGAAGCCCACGAAGACTGACCTCTGATGGTGTCCCACCAAGGATGGACAGGGTGCAGAGCCGTTCAGGACAATCCTTGGCTGCCAGAACAGCAGTCCAGTGAACCTGAGGCGGCCCAGTGGATCCGAAGCCGCTATCTCCCTGCAGCCAATCTTCCGCTCTGCAAACACAAGACTTAAAAGGCACAAGCTGAGCAAGTCTGGCTCCCGCAGGGATAGTAACAGGAGGGGTGAGTGTGGAAACCATGGCGTAAATCCGCCCCGTGAAGTCCAAATCAATGATTCCTAGGTGCACAATGATGCCCTGAGCGGTGGCACTAGATCTCCCCATGAAAAGAGCATTCATGCCCTCACCCACTGGGCCCGAGGCATCCAAAGGAACTCTGTACATTCTACAAGAGTCCAAGACTGTGTCTGCTGTGCAGACATCAAGGTCTGCAGAGCCGGAGGTGCTGGCTACGAGCTGGCCGAGCAGACCTCCATTGGCTCCGGGGTGTGAAGGGAGGCTTGTGTCTGAGCATGTCTCCCCATCGTGCTTGGCTTCCCATTTCCCGAGCCCAACAGAGGCTGACCATTGACATGGACCGTTGCCCTGCACACATTCATCCCATGGTTATCCCTACCACATTGGACACAGTAATACAGAGGAGCTGAGACCCCTTTCGCCTTCTTTTTCTGCTTCTTGCTGGCCTAAGCAGTCCTCTGTTGCTGCTGCCCACCCTGCGGCTTCACCCAAGGTGGCCGCAGCACAGCAGCCACACTAGGGGTTCCTTCAGCATTGACACTGGCCTCTACACAAGCCCGCGCCATCTGTGGCAGCGAGGGATCACCAGGGATCGCACTAATGATCCTCCAACACGTGGCATTACAATTGGTCTTTGTGAGAGTCTTGAGCATAAGCTGCCTTGCCATACTATCCTGTGCTTGCTGCTCCACAGAAGCAGTCAGCCAATTCGCAAAGTGCAGAAAAGACTCGTCATCATGCTGGACAATAGTCACAAAAGTCATTGCATTGCTCAGGTACAAGAGGGTCAAGGCCAACCTGCCTATTAAAGTCAGCAAAGCCATCCTTACCCAGCAGAACATCAGAGCTGATCACCCGCATGAGATCCCGCTGACCCAAGGCAGTATTCTGCTGCACCCCTTGACAAGCTATCTCAGCCCATACCCCTTCAAAAATGCCATACTCCACCAGCTGAAAAATAACACAGGCTATATTCCTGGTGTCATAAGGTACAAGGACACCACCCACAAGACCCCGAAGAGCCTGCATAACCTCATTCGACCCAAGCCCATATGTTTCAGCTGTCTCCTGGAGATCCATCAAGGCCTTCCAGGATACAAGCTGGTAAGTCCTCTGAGCCGCATCCTGAAGCATAGGGAATGCCTGATACCCATCCGGAGGAGCGGCCTCACTTGCTGCATCCTGTCTCAGAGAGTTCCCCAAGATAGGACCAGGCACATGGCAGGAAGACCTTACAACAGCATCCGGCGCCACAGCCGCTGTAACACCAGTGGAACCCGAGGAGCCATCCTCACCGTCCAGGGTGCCGTCATCAACCTCATCAACCTTAGCCCTCACAGCTAAGCCCCAAAAGTGCTTCTAATCCTGCAGCCGCACAGTTATCTGTCAGGGAGGCAAGGTCCACAGGCTATCCGGGGACCCTTTCCCCATGGAGGACACTGGCTTCGTCCCCGTGGCATCACCACCCGAACCAATGGTAAACAGGTAAACAGTGCAGGACCTTGATCTACCGTGGCTGCAGGAGGCGACAGGGGGGCCCGTCTCCAGCTGCAGGCTCAGGCGATGCCCGGGAACCCAAGGCGGGGCGAGGTGAAGCTAGTGCAGTGCAGTCCGCCTCCAGGACAGGGGGGGACCATGGCGCCAGTCAAGGCACAGCCCGCAGGGCCGTGGTACCGTCCCGCTGCACTGCCAGGGGCGTCCTGGGCTCGCAGGAGGGTAAAACCGCACCATAGAGCTGGCGGTTGGCCCAGCGTCAGCACCACTCGCAGCACCCTTCCCCACGCCCCACAAATCCAGAGCAGGGTGGGACAGCGCTCAGAATCGTCCCTAACAGCATCTCTTTGGGAGTGCAAAAGCCAGGAATGGGCATCGGCCGGCCCTCCTTTGGAACAGTGTGCGCATCCTCCACCGCAGGGTACAGCACAGCCCAGCCACAGCAGGGACATGGGACTGTCTGTGACATCGCACCCAGGGGCGGCGCCGCCTCCTGTTCAGGCGGCCCCCCATCAGTCTGTGCTGGGAAGACACACAAATGAGGCAGCCCCACCCCAGGTTTATGCTGCCGGGGTGCCAGATATGGCAGAGTTACATCCCCCCGGTTCTGCAGTGCCTCTGACAGCCCGCTGGCTGGGACCCAACCCCGCCCCAGACCTCTGCCGCCGGGGCGCCAGGTGAGGCGGGGCCACATCCACCGGCTCCACATCACCAGGGGGGAGGGAGAGCTCCGCCTCACTCCCACAACTGGCATCAGAGTCATCTCTCTCATCCAGGTCAGAGAGAGCAGCCACAGAACCAACAGGAGAGGACGTGCAACTACTCAGAACGCAGTCGCAACGCCGCCAGATCTGCAGCAGCCAGGCCAGGCGGGGGTCATAATCTACTACCATAGCCTCGATCAGGGAATTGCCTAATGCATCCCAAGGCGGCTTTGAAAAAACCGCCTCAACCACAGGGAAAAACCCTTCAATTCTCCCATACTCATACAATTGCTGAAAGTCAGCATCCGAAACATCAACCCCTTTCTGATCAAACACCGCACGCCATATTCCCATAACCAGGCCCTCCGTAGGAGAGAACCCAAAAGCAGCCATAGCTACAGGCTAGACAGTACCCTGTGACCATCACCTGCAACACACGTCGGGGACATCAGATGTTGCTGTTGGACACAAAGTAAGCTACACGGACGCAGCTCAAGATATGATGAAGGAGAGAACTTTATTTCTTCTCTCACAATTTATAGGTTTCTGATCATGGCCAGGGATTGGGTAGTCAGGATAGCACCTTTCCAACTGCACTGGCCGTGAGAGATGTCCATTGAGAGACGTGTAACAGAAGAATGTACACATATCTATGTTTATAGTTACTGTCCTGGGAAAGTTCTTTAGAAACTATGTCAACAAGGTCCAAAGCTGAGTTTTCAGGGTGACACTGGTCCATCAAATCTAGGGTGGATAAGAAACTTCTTTTCTGGACTCACTAATTAACAAATCTTCTACATACTGTACAATTTCTCCCCCTTATTTTATTCCCTTTCAATCAAACTTTGATACTGGGAGCCAGGGAGGAAATAGTAGAGGATCCTGTAATGACTTGGGGAAGACATGAGACAAGTACTTTCTCTTGGGTTCCAGGCCAGTGGAGTCCTGTCTCATGGCAGGTGGCACTCTTCACATTGTGTTAATCAATATGGGCTGTGTTTGAGAACAACCACCCCACATCTGTACTGGTCCCTGCCACCCTGCCATAAACTTCTTCAAATATTTCCTGAGGTAAATTTCAGAGGCTACTTGCTCACTGGAGTGCAAGAGTGACACTCAAGGCTGGGGAAGGCTATGGGAACTGACAGTGGTCAAATAAGAGATTTTTAGGTTTCGGGCATTAGCTTGAGCCTGTGTGAAACTAAGTCACACAACTTTCTCACTCTGGCCTGAGAAATCATACGGAGGAATCCAAACAGTCCTTGCAGAGGGAAAACAATCTTTGCAGGTGTTGTTTATTGCCTTGTTTTTTACTTGCAAGAAATAGTCAAGGGGTGTTCCTAACTGTCCAATGATGGTGATGTGTTGGTTTCATGACCAACGAGAGTTTTACCTTTCTGGACCGTCTCGGAACTGTCTAGAAAAGATCTGGAAGAATAAAACTTGCTCTCTTTTGCAACCAAAGCGAGAGAGTCTGTCATCACTTTGCCGGTCCTAATACAGTGTAACAGAAGGCCATTACCCTGCCCAGTGATCAGACCAGCTTCAAGTCACCCAACTGCCCTGCCACAACCTTATTGTGCTGTCTTGGCAAAATTCTGCTGCCAATAAGAATTTCTGTCAGTGTTGCACAACCTCAGCCATGGGCGCCCTCTGAACTACGACAGGGATATTTCCCATCACATCAAAAAGTACAAGGGACATGAAACTCCTTTTTGCATGCCAAGAAGGGACTTCAGCCCCCTGTGCCTGGGGACCCTAGCACCCACTGTGTGGCACAAGGGACACAAAGCTCTCCCTGTGCCTGTCTCCAAAACCCTTCAAGCAGAGACTCAAGCATCCTAGCAGAGACTTCAGCTCTCCCCTCCACCCCTTGCACCTTGGGAGGCCTCCACAACTCCTCTGTGGCCGCCTTACACGGACCATGCTGCACACGCCTTCTCCACCCTCTCTCTACCAGTGATTTCACCAAATCTGCACCAAATGCTGCAACAACAGAGAGGCTCAAATCCACACATTTACATAGAATCTGTGCATGGAATTGTAACACTCCCCCTTTGGCTCCATTCTGCTCTAAAAATCCCAGGTAAACTCACCTGCTGCCAGCAGCTGCACATTTGGAGAAGGGGGGCTCCAAGTGTACTTCTCTACAGTCCTGTCTGGGATGCCATAGCGCTGAGGAAACTCCCCCGTGTGACTATTCCAAGGCAAGGGTTGCTCCAGCGAGCTAATGGATGCTCCATTTAATTCCCTACCCATTCCACTGTCACCCAGACAGAGCAGATTTCCACACCCATTCAGCCCCATGAATCCCCCAGCATACTTGCCATCAATGTCATGTTCAATAAAGAGCCACCGGCTCCTGCTGCCACACTCAGTGTCCATTTCAAACCCCTGGCCGGTGGAACAGCTCCCTGTGCCCTCTGTTATGCAAAGTGTAGGGATTTCACTGCCTCTTGTCCTGGGCTTCTGTCAGCCAGAGCTCAATCTGCAGCTGGCACTGCAGCTGCACAGCCAGCTCCCTGCCCCAAATGGATTCCTCAGCAGCTGCCTTCCCTGGGGACTACACAATCTCATCCTGCAGAAAGAGTGGCTTAAAGACAGCAGCAGCGAGCCTTCTTACAAGGGCAGGTCCTGACAGGACAAGGTGTAAGGGACGGTCCGAAGATTCTCTCATCTGTCTCACAACCGTCTCAAGGACAGAGACTGAGACCCTGAATATCACAAGGGACTTGGTTAGGAGTTTGGGCCTAGCTGAGGTGGATGTTTGCTAAGTGATTGTTTGCAGGTGGTTGCCCGGTACACTGCCCTCGTTCCTGCTGGTGAGCAGAGGCTTGTGCATGGTACCCTGCGCAATGGGCTTCCACAACACATTGCTCTCGTTCCTGCTGGTGAGCAAACACTTGTAAGAAATGGTTTGCTCTGTACCCTACACCTGCCCCCTGCGCAATGGAATTCATCACAATGATCATCAACCTCCTCTGTTTTTGGCCCTGTGCCCCTTGCTTTGTAAAAGACTACAAAATCACACCCCAAATTTACCTTCCTTTGAGATCTCCCCAACAGACAGAAGACTCTGCATCATTGGACGGCTGAGTGGACTTCGACGTTGGTAGCTATAATCCCCTTACTCTCTTTTTCTTATGCTTTGCTTTCTCGTCTTTTCCCTCTATCGCATATTAGTGCTGATGAGCACTCAGTAAAGTGTGTTTTACTGTTTGAGTCCCTGGTTTGCTGATAATCTTTTGTACTCTAAGATTGAATAAAAGGACCACATTACGAATCCCACTTTGTGGATAGTGACACAAGGGGCAATGGCTTTACAGTGACAGAGGGTAGTTTTAGACAGGATCATATGAAGGAATTCTCTACTCTGAGGGTATTGGGTTGATGCAAGGGTTCATACAAGGACTGCTCTCAAGTCAAGCTCTTGACACTCTGTAAAACTGGATCTAGTGCAAGGCCCTCCCCATGCATTCCTGGGATCCCTAGTGTAATCCCTCAATACCCATGGCAGATTTTTGGAGCTTTATGGTCTCCAAACTCCCTTCCAAGCCAGACCATTCTATTGCTTCTTGATTTTATGTTGCCCCTGCCCCAGTGGGCCCTCATGCCACAGACTCCCACAGTGCCCAGAACACAGAATCCTCTCCTCCGTGACATCAGCCCTGGGGCCAAGAGCACCATGGGCGGTGCGGCTGCTGTGGGCATTGCGGCTGTGGCTGTGCTGCTGCACGGAGCCCTCAGTGCTTGCTGCTCACACGAGCCTCTGGCAGCCATGAACTGGCTCGGTCTCCTTGTCCTGATGACCGTGGCCGGGCTGGTGCACGGGACATGGGACAATTGTGGGTAAGTGGCCCCAGGCCCTGGCAGGGAGCCACGGCAACACTTGGGGCCTTCCCTGCAGGGGCCCCGCCTGTCCCCCATGGCCGGGCCACAGCTTCCCACCCACCATGGGACAGCCTCAGCTCCTTGCCAGCAGCCAGGTGCTGGCACGGACAGACACACACCCCATGGGCTTCCCTGGCCTGCTGTGCCTGCAAGCCCTTGTGGGGAGGGCAGAGGGCTGAGCTTCAGCCTGAGCCACAGCAGGCCATGGAGCAGCATGGAAATTACTTTCTGCTTGCAGATGGACTTGTGGACTCCGACCCATGGTGTCTGACTCTGGATATAAGAGTCATGACTTCGGCATGACACGCATCGTGGGTGGCACAGGTGCCCTGCCAGGGGCCTGGCCATGGATGGTCAGCATCCAGCATCCCAGGATACCAGGCACAAAGCATTTCTGTGGAGGGTCTCTCATCAGGGCAGACTGGGTCCTCACAGCAGCCCACTGCTTCGACCTTATTTTGTAAGAAGGGGCAGAAAATGGGGACATCCCCACAACACCAGCAGGTGCCCTGCCACCAGCACCTGCTACTCCCCTCCCCTTTCCTCTCAGGCAGCCCAGCTGCCACACTGCTCAGGAGAAGCCCGGCCTTGTGCCAAGACTTCTCAGCTGCTTTCAGCTTGACATTCCCCCAGCCTAGCTTGTGCAAGGGCACTCACACCTGCCAGAGCACACAGAGGTCTGGCAACTGCTGGGCTGCTGTGGCACATGGCTCTGCTCCCCCTCAGCCCTCTCTCCATCTCCTTACCAGTAACACCAGCTTGATGTATGTGGTGATTGGGGCCACCCAATTGACTCAGCCAGGACCTGGAGCACAAGTGCGCCAAATTAAGAAACTGCTTCGTCACGAGAACTATAAGAGACGTGACATGAGCTATGACATTGCTTTGCTGGAACTGAGCCAGCCTGTCCAGTGCAGTCCCTACATCCAGCTGGCCTGTGTGGCCGATGCTATCCTAGGAGTGTCAGTGTCACAGGAGCATAATTGCTGGGTTGCTGGCTGGGGTGCCACCACTGCAAAAGGTGAGTTCCCAAGAGAGTCCATAGCTAGTCCATCACACTGGCATCAGTCTGGGCTTCTCCATGGTAGAGGCCAAAGCCAGGCTGTTGGACAAACACCTCTGCAGAGATGGGCCTGGCCTGCTCCCCAAAGGCGGGCAGCAGGGACAGAGCACCCCAGTGCCTCTGCAGAAGGAAAGCCATGCCCTAGAGAAACAGATTCCCCCCAGACAAGGGAGGAGAACTGGGAAGGAGCTGCTGGAGGCTCATTTCTTTCTCTGCTCATAGCTCAAAACTCAAGTGATCACCTGCAGCAGGCCATGGTGCACCTCATCGATATCCAACTATGCAATAGTACCTTCTGGTACGCAGGGGAACTGCACCCCTATAACTTGTGTGCTGGTTACCCAGAGGGCCTCATCGACACCTGCCAGGTAGGAGCGTGTGGTGAGCCACTCAGCCCCCAGCAGCACCAACAGCACCACCCCAACACAGCCCAGGACCTGCTTTGCCCGGACACTCAGTCACTCTCCCAGCCCTGGCTACCCCCGACTGCTGTGGGGGCTTCCCACACACTCCCCATCCACACCTGCCTGCACAGGGCCCCCCTTGTGCCTGAAAGCCCAGCAAGCCCAGCTAGTGCTCCTGGCAGCCCAGAGGTGCAGGTGCCAAATGTCCATCCTCTGCACATGCAGGAGCCCTGTGCAGAGAGGACAGAGAGAGCTCTGCCCTACAGAACCCCAAGCCATTCACAGCCAAGCCTCTGCAGGCTCCAGCCCCTGAGCAGAGCCTTCCTCTGCCTGGAATACAGCTCTGGCAGGGGCTGTGAGAGAGGAGGAGACAGCCCCAATGCTGGCAGGGGCCACCAACACCACCTTAATCCTCTCTGCTCTGCTGCAGGGTGACAGTGGTGGTCCTCTCATGTGTCAGGATAACCACGCTGACTCCTGGTGGGTTGTTGGAGTGACCAGCTGGGGAAAAAGTTGCGGCAGAGCAAGGCGGCCTGGAGTCTACACGTCCACTCAGTACTTCTATGACTGGATCTTAGTCCACATGGGCAAAAAGAATATTCAAAGTGTTTCTTGAGCAACAGAGTGTGCAGCATCTAGGATGTGCTGGAGTGCACAGCAACTGTTTCCCTCAGGGGCAATCAACCCTATTTATCCAAAGGTAGTCTCACTGTCAGAAACGTGTTCTGTTCTGCCCACACTCTCCTGTGCACATAGACACTGGAGTTGATTTAGTTGTTGAAGTAAAGTTGCCTATCATCACTGGGAACCATATTTTTGATTGAATTCTGACTCCGGGGCAGGGCAAGGATTGCCATGATTGGCACCTGCAGGATGAGCCTGAGGGCAGACCTTCCAAACACAAAGGGACAGAGTGGATACAAAGAGCTCCAAAGTGTCTGGTCAGAGAGAAGAGTGCTCTAAAACCACCAAGGGTTGGAGGAATCTGGTCCATCAAACCCAGGAAGGGAATAGGAAAAAAGCAGACACTTTTGGGGTGGTGCTCAAAGGCCCATGGGCTGCTCATTAGGGCCTGGTGTGAGCCTGGGCTAAGGGAACAGATCTGGAAAAGTCCCAAGCATGACAAGGGAAACTCCTGGCTCCTGACTGGAGTGCCAGTGCCCCAAGGCAGAGCCAGATTTCACTGGTACTAAGAGGAGATTGATGTACCAGGAGGTCACACTTCCCAGATACCCAAAGGAAGAGCTGGGGTCATTCTGGGGAGAGGAACCTGGCAGGAACAGTAGGAGAGCACACCAGGAATGCCATGGGAGGCCAAGCTGAGTGGGCCAAGAGCAGCTGCAACACCAAGGCTGTTCACAGGCAGGGCCAGCCTGGGAGGCAGGGGGAAAACAGTCTCTTGCTGCTATTGAAACTTTGCCTGATGACTTTTTTCCTAACATAAATGATTTAGTCATTCACGCAGAAACTATTTTAGTTCCTTTATCCCACGAAGTTAGAAAGAATGTACACGTTCTTTGGGCAGAACAGTATCTTAGTTTAATTAAAGGGTTTTTGGCTACTACAAATTGTTTATCTACTTTGTATGTTAACATTAGGCAGTTTCATGCCAACGAACCAGCATTTAGGATAGAAACAATTCATGGCTCCGTATTAGGGAGGAGGTGAGGGCAGAGAGAGGGAGGAATTGAGGAAGATGAGGGGACTGTATAAGCCTGGCAAATGGAGAGATGGAGCAATCAAAGAGCCTATTCACAAACTGAATCTTGTTGTGCTCATTTGCTTGAGTGCTGCACATAATCACCACAGGGTGGGTAAGAAACTTCTTGTCTTAACTTTCTAATTTACAAATCACCTACATATTTTACAAATTCACCCCAAATAAAATCCCAATCCAGTGGGATTTTGTACCCATTTATTCAACTTCACAATATTCATGTGCAGGAGGAAAATAAATGGTAGGGTTTCATGTTGCACTATATGTTACACTAAGTGTTGTTTCCAAGTTGTGCCCCACCTGGGTGGTGTGTTGGATCTTTCCCCCTTGCCCCTCTCCTTCGGTTTCACTCCATTGGCTGTAACCTGCCTTCCACTCCTCTTTTCCCCTCAGTTTAAAAATCTCCATGACTCCTTCCTCTGTCTTTTTTTCCCTGGAGCAGTTCCAGAATAAACCAAGTGACAGTGTCCAGGGAAGAAAGAGCCTCCTTCATCCTTTACCTTTGTCCTGCTGAAACACCTCCAACTCCTGGTGGACTGGAGCTAGTCAGACAATTTCCTGGGGCTGGGAGCAAAGGGATTATGGCAGTAGGGCATACTGCAGCTCTTCAGAAAAGATGTTTACAAAGCTACCCTCTGTCACTCTAAAGCCATTGCCCCTTGTTCTATCAGCATATCTCAAATCATGGATAACCTGCAAGACTGTGTCCAGGTGAAATCCTCCCCTAGTCTTGGGCCCAATTATCAGTAGCCTCTCTGCCCTGCTGACCTGAAGTATCATGGATGGGGACATCCACATGACAGACTTTAACAGTCAGCTCCTCTTCCCAGGCAGTGATGTCTTGCCTTTCTTCAGCAGCCCAGACTGGTTTTCCTCTACACTGCCTTTGGCCTTTTTCCACCTTTCCAGACACTGCCAGACCATTTGCTACCATGCAGCAGTCAGTGTAGAGGTAGAGTGTTGGCCACTTCTCTTACACAGCAATGTCCAAAGCCAGAACTTTCAGCTCTGCAATCTGACTGGATCCACTTCATCCTTCAGTAGCTTCTGCAACTCCCAGCATAGGGCTCCATACAGCACTTTTCCATTTCCTACTGGTCCCTACAATACAGCAGGATCCATCAGTGAAGAGGGTGTCCCATCCTTCACTCTCCAGAAGCTGGATATATGGTGGGGCTTCCTCAGCACATGTCACCTGTTCTTCCTCGTCTGAAGAAAATCAAAAGCTCTCACCTTTGGACCAGTTTGTGGTGACTTCCAAGATGCCAGGGCAACTTGGATTTCCTATTTGACCTCACTGTGATGTGGGTCATCCATTTCCTCCAGGTAGCATTGGTGGCATGATGTATTGCAGGGAACTTTCCTCTAAATATCCAGCCCAGCACTGGTAGTCAGGCTACCAGAAGGAGCTGTGCTTCAGTGCCAGTCACTTCTGAGGCAGCTCAAACCCCTTCATAGCCTGCAAGCATCTCTTCCTCTCTTGGGATGTAGCTGGCCTCAGATTCTGTATGCATGGCTCCAAAACCCAAGAGGTCAGCCTCGAGTCTCCCCAGGTCTCTTCTGCCAGAGGCTCCAGGATGGACCATTCTCCGTGGCTGTGGTGTAGAGCACATTCTTCCCATCCTGTCCTGTCCTGGCAGGCCCAAGTGCTGTTGCATGGGCAATCTCATGCTTGATCTGCTCAAAAGCTTGCTCTTGCTCAGGGCTCCAGTCAAAATCCTTCTTCTCTCGTGTCATGAGGTAATGAGGTCTTACAATCTGTCTGTATTCCAGGATGTGCATTCTCCAAAAGTCCATGGTGCCTAGAAAAGCTTGTGTCTCTTTTTTGCTGGTCATGGGGACACAGCACTTATCTTAGTAATCTCATCTGTTGGCACCTGTCTGCATCCAGCTTGCCATTTCGTCCCTAGGAAATTATTTTCTTGGGCAGGCCCCTTGACTTCATTTGATAGCAAACCTGCTTTCAGGAGACTCAGGATTATTCTCTCTCCTTTCTCATAAACCTCCCCTGCAATGTTCCCCCACACAATGATGTCATCCATGTAGTGCAGATGTTCTGGAGCCTCACTCTTTTCCAGTGCAGCCTGGATCAGTCCATGGCAGATGCTGGGGCCGTGCTTCTGCCCCTGGGGCAGTCAGTTCCAGGTGTACTGCACACCCCTCCAGGTGAAAGCAAACTGAGGCCTGCACTCTTCTGCCAGAGGAATGGAGAAAAACACATCGGCAATGTCAATAGTGGCATATCGCTTTGCTGCCTTGGACTCCAGCTTGTACTGGAGCTCCAGCATGTCTGGCACAGCAGCTCTCAGTGACAGCTCATTTAGGCTACAGTAGTCCACAGTCAATGTCCATTCCCCATCAGACTTGTGCAAAGGCCAAATGGGACTGTTGAACCATGAATGGGTCTTACTGACCATTCCCTGGCTCTCCTGTTCATGGATCATACCATGTATGGGAATCACGGAGTCTCGGTTTGTTTGTTGCTGGCTTAGGCTCCCCACCTGGTTTAGCTGCAGCTGGAGTGCCTGGGGTGTCTGCTGACTCATCCTCCAGCCCTTCTGGCTGTATTTGCTGCCCTAAAGTGTCTAGCAGTGTGCGATAAGCATTAGCCAGGGCCCAGCACAATGCAATGAGCTGCTTCTCTTTAGAGCTGCCATTGCAATTTTCTTTCAGATATTTCCCCACCTCAGCTGGATTCTGAATTTGTTCAGGGGGAAAGTTCCAAACTACTGGGGCAGAGAATTCCTTCAGGCTTTGGTCATCCCACATCCCACACGACTCAGAATTTTCCTGCATGGGGACAGATGTCTCACCAACGTCTCTGAAAATCTCAGCCCTGATTCTAAATGTCCTGTAGGTCTTACGGAGGAGAGTTAGCAGAATCTTAAAAAAGAAAATATGGTATCTTTTGTAGCATGTCAGCCGTGGGTGGGGAGACAAAACTCATGCATCGTGATCCATGTACTCATGAGACAAAACAGCCGCGCTTATTATTCAGAACTCACTTAAATACTCAATTCAAATTTCCAGGGCTAGATAGCCTTTGGCTGAGATCTTTCTCCCCTCCTCAGTGTCCTGACCAGTGCTGTGCTTTGATCTCAGATTGAATTGGGCTGGCCGAGGATCCACTATAACTTATCCAGGGACATATTCAGACATGAATTAGGCTAGCTAAATTAGATTTTTTGCTACGGTCGGATTTATTTTGTCCCATCCAGACCAGATGTACTATGACAATACTGCAACAATCTTTAACATCCAGAAGGAATGGAATCTTCTCTGAAGACAACATGCCAGATATGAAGAGGAATAGGGAAGGAAAAGGCTGGGAAAAATCATCCCCTACTTCCCCCCCAACAGACTGAGTGCACCCCAACAGACTGAGTGCAATTGTTAATAAATCTCAAAAAATTACTGCCGAGACCATCACAGGGAAACAGCAGAGAATACACATCCCAAATAACTCTCATTGCCTCTGATGTTATCTTTCCATAAATTATTAGCACAGAGAATATCTACACAGCGATTCTGATTTGTGTCCCCGATATGAAGAAGATATATACCAGGGCCAGGATTGCCAATACATGTGGGTAAGCAGCCATGCCTCAATGCCAGGAGGCCGTGATTGAACCAGGCAGCATGGTGACCACTGACTGTTGTACCCAATACAAAGTCTTTCAGACAGGAATGTGATTTTTTTCTTTTTCATTTTCTGTTGCCCCCTTAACTTGGGCAACAAATTTTGTCTCATTTTGAGGCAATTTAAAAGAGAACCATCTGGAGTATCTCCTTTAGACTTCCAAGAATCCCTTTCTGCCAGTAAGGAATGAATACTAATAAATGAGAGTGAAAAAAACCAACAAAACCTCAATGTTTTAGTAACAAACCAAATGCCAACAGGCAGGAAAAAAATAAAAAGTAAATAACTTGTACATACCAAAGTGTTAGACCTCACCACCTCACCAGAACAAAAGGAGACCCAAAATGCTGGAGATTACCCATTCCTGGAATGTGATACAAGATGGTATCAACTTCTCCCCCTTTGGAAGGCAGTAGCCTCACGGAGCAGACAAAGGCCCAGCAGCAGACAAAGGCCTCATGGCTCATCTGACACCAACCTCCTCCCCACAGCAAAGAACAGCAGAACGGTGGTGTCAGGCAAAATAGCTGGGCTGGAGCCCCTTGGTGTGTTCTCTCCACAGCTTGGCGCAGTTCTCAGTGGTTTGGGTCGGAGCGGGGAAGCTCTGCTCCTGCCAGTGTGATGTCCCTGGTCTCGGAGAAGCAGCTGCTCGACTTGCCTCAAGGCAGCCCAAAATTGCTACTGCAGATTCCCCAAGACAAGGAAAGGAAAATCTTTTGCAACACCCACATAAAAGAAACCCACTCCTTTCCCCCGGCCTCCCATGCACAAGGTCCCGAGGTTACAGGGTTTTAATGACGCAGTAACAATTTCTGGAAAGAGCAGAGGATATCTGAATACACTGCCACAGTAAATCACTCCAAGGCACTGAGGCACAGGCCGCCCAGAGCAGTGTGGAACCCTGCTTTTCCCACAGTCAGGGTCAGCACAGAAGACGCAGACACCAACCTCAGGATTAAGCATTAATTTACTGTCATTCAAAACTGCAAAGAATTGCAAAAGGATAAGCTAAGCAATGCATCCAATCATTACTGTAAAAGATTGCCTGCAGTGATGAAGAAAGCATAACATCACAAGTTACCCTAATCCTTTACCATCAACCAGATCTGCCCATCAGCTGGGGGAAGCCACTGTCACAATACTGGGGAACCACTCCTGGCAAGTGGGAAATTCTGCAGGTGCCTTCCCCTACAGGCAACGAGGTTTCTGACTGCGCTGTGAGAGGGCCCTGTTTTTATACAGTTGAATAAACAAATTGCCATATCTTCTAGTGCAGGGACATCTGGTTTTGTTCTTGTATTGGGATGCTCCCAAGGCCTTGGAGGGCTCCAGGAGGAACCAAGGGAGTTGTCTGGGTCAATATGAGGCCAGCTTTTGGTCAAGAGCTGTTCTTTATCCTTCAGTCAAATTTGGTTGTTTAAGAACTTAGTACTACAATGTCTCATCCCTTGAAGAATTCAAGGACAGCTTTTGAGCCAGGCATGTACACTGTCGACAACCGGGTCTAGTGCAAGCCGTCCCTCCCTGCCCATTGTAGCAAGTTGGAACTATGTGATCTTCAAGGTCCTTTCTTGAACATTTGTTAACCATTCTATTGCTACTTGATTTGATGTGGCTCCTCCCACCATGGGTCTCCCATGCCACAGGCTGCTGTGCCCAGAACACGGAATCCACCCCTCCGTGACATCAGCCCTGGGAGCAAGGACACCGTGGCTGCTGTGGGCATTGCGGCTGTGGCTGTGCTGCTGCACGGAGCCCTCAGTGCTTGCTGCTCACACGAGCCTCTGGCAGCCATGAACTGGCTCAGCCTCCTCGTCCTGATGACCGTGGCCGGGCTGGCCCACAGCATGGAGTACACCTGCGGGTAAGTGGCCCCAGGCCCTGGCAGGGAGCCACGGCAACACTTGGGGCCTTCCCTGCAGGGGCCCCGCCTGTCCCCCATGGCCGGGCCACAGCTTCCCACCCACCATGGGACAGCCTCAGCTCCTTGCCAGCAGCCAGGTGCTGGCACGGACAGACACACACCCCATGGGCTTCCCTGGCCTGCTGTGCCTGCAAGCCCTTGTGGGGAGGGCAGAGGGCTGAGCTTCAGCCTGAGCCACAGCAGGCCATGGAGCAGCATGGAAATTACTTTCTGCTTGCAGAGGAACCTGTGGACTCCAAGCTGTGCCATCTGTTTACCATCCTATGACTTATTCCTACGGCAGCCTGGATTATGGCATGACACGTGTTGTGGGTGGCGCAGATGCCCTGCCAGGGGCCTGGCCGTGGATCGTCAGTATCCGGCATCCCTGGGTACCAGGCTTGAGACATCTGTGTGGAGGGTCTCTCATCAGGGCAGAATGGGTCCTCACAGCAGCCCACTGCTTCGACCAGGTCACGTAAGGAGGAGCAGGGAATGGGGACATCCCCACAACACCAGCAGGTGCCCTGCCACCAGCACCACCTGCTACTCCCCTCCCCTTTCCTCTCAGGCAGCCCAGGTGCCACACTGCTCAGGAGAAGCCCGGCCTTGTGCCAAGACTTCTCAGCTGCTTTCAGCTTGACATTCCCCCAGCCTAACTTGTGCAAGGGCACTCACACCTGCCAGAGCCCTGCTCCCTCTCTGCCTTGCCATGCAGAGGTCTGGCAACTGCTGAGCTACTGTGGCACATGGCTCTGCTCCCCCTCAGTGCTCGCTCCATGCCTTTTAGGGATATCGGCATGGTGTATCTGGTGATTGGGGCCACCCAATTGACTCAGCCGGGCCCTGGGGCACAACTGCGCCGTGTTAAGCAGTTGGTGATACACCCGTACTACAATCCTGACGACTATAGCTATGACATCGCCCTGCTGGAATTGGACCATCCTGTCCTGTGCAGCCCCTACATCCAGCTGGCCTGTGTGCCTGATGCCACACTGAGAGTGTCAGAGCTGCAGAACTGCTGGGTTGCTGGCTGGGGTTCCACCGCTCCAAGAGGTGAGTTCCCAGGAGAGACTTTTGGGCTAGCTCAGCACAGCGGGGAGAGGGTTTGGGCTTCCCCACAGCAGAGGCCACAGCCAGGCTGTTGGATGAACACCTTTGCAGAGATGGGCCTGGCCTGCTCCCCAAAGGCAGGGAGTAGGGACACAGCACCCCAGTGCCTCTGCAGAGGGAAAGCCATGCCCTAGGGAAATGGATCCCCCATATGTCAGCCTTGCGTGGACAACTGGGAAAGAGCTGCGGGGGGTTCATTCTTTTCTCTGCTCACAGCACAGACATCAAGTGATCACCTGCAGGAGGCCACAGTTCAGCTCATCAATCTCAAGATCTGCAACAGCAGCCGCTGGTACGCAGGGAAAATCCATACCCACAACTTGTGTGCTGGTTACCCACAGGGCCTCATTGACACCTGTCAGGTAGGAGCGTGCCATGAGCCACTCAGCCCCCAGCAGCACCAACAGCACCACCCCAACACAGCCCAGGACCTGCTTTGCCCGGACACTCAGTCACTCTCCCAGCCCCGGCTACCCCCGACTGCTGTGGGGGCTTCCCACACACTCCCCGTCCACACCTGCCTGCACAGGGCCCCCCTTGTGCCTGAAAGCCCAGCAAGCCCAGCTAGTGCTCCTGGCAGCCCAGAGGTGCAGGTGCCAAATGTCCATCCTCTGCACATGCAGGAGCCCTGTGCAGAGAGGACAGAGAGAGCCCTGCCCAACAGAACCCCAAGCCATTCACAGCCAAGCCTCTGCAGGCTCCAGCCCCTGAGCAGAGCCTTCCTCTGCCTGGAATACAGCTCTGGCAGGGGCTGTGAGAGAGGAGGAGACAGCCCCAATGCTGGCAGGGGCCACCAACACCGCCTTAATCCTCTCTGCTCTGCTGCAGGGTGACAGTGGTGGTCCTCTCATGTGTCAAGAGAAAAACAGTGACTACTGGTGGGTCGTTGGAATAACCAGCTGGGGAAAGGGCTGTGCCAGAGCAAGGCGGCCTGGAGTCTACACATCCACTCTGTACTTCTCTGACTGGATCCTATTCCAGATGCGCCTGAGCCCAGATGGAAGTCCCTCTCCAACATCACGGGCATGTAGTCATTTTTTGACCACTTCACATTTCTGGATTCATTATATTACCACCCCACAACCCCCTCTGAAGCCATGGCCAAGAGCAACCCCCTCTCCAAAACCAATGCCAGTACCAACAATGGGCAAAGTTAACTCCTGCCCATTTCCCATCAAAATTCTGATGGAATTCTTTATTAGAGTGAAAGAACTACTCCAACAAATCTTTGGGCAAAACACATCTTGAGCAGCAGGACACCCACAATCCAGTTAACATTGCAGTGCACAGCAACCATTTCCTCCTGGGACAATGCCTGCTGATCCAAAGGCAGCCTCAGGGTCAAAAACCTGCTCTGTCCTGCTCACATTCCTCTGTTCAGGCAGACACTGCAGTTGACTTACATGAAGTAAAGTTGCCTATGGTCACAGGAAACCATCTTTTTGGTCCAATTTCTACTCCTGGGCAGGGCAAGGATTGCCATGATCAGCATCTGCATCTGTGAAATGAGCCTGAGGGCAGACCTGCCAAACACAAAGGGACAGAGTGGATCCAAAGAGCCCCAAAGTGCCTGGTCAGAAAGAAGAGTGCTCTAAAACCACCAAGGGTTGGAGGAATCTGGTCCATCAAACCCAGGAAGGGAATAGGAAAAAAGCAGACACTTTTGGGGTGGTGCTCAAAGGCCCATGGGCTGCTCATTAGGGCCTGGTGTGAGCCTGGGCTAAGGGAACAGATCTGGAAAAGTCCCAAGCATGACAAGGGAAACTCCTGGCTCCTGACTGGAGTGCCAGTGCCCCAAGGCAGAGCCAGATTTCACTGGTACTAAGCGGGGATTGATGTACCAGGAGGTCACACTTCCCAGATACCCAAAGGAAGAGCTGGGGTCGTTCTGGGGAGAGGAACCTGGCAGGAACAGTAGGAGAGCACACCAGGAATGCCATGGGAGGCCAAGCTGAGTGGGCCAAGAGCAGCTGCAACACCAAGGCTGTTCACAGGCAGGGCCAGTGTCATGGGGTGACTTTACCTTTAAGGTGGTTGTGAGAGCTAAGGAAGTTGAAGTTGCTGGGGACTGAAAGGAGTCTCTTCTCCTGACCAATTATTGGTGAAAGGTAACAGAGCTCCGGCTGGCCTCCCATTCTCTGCCCGTCCATCCGGCCAGGCGGGGACTGGGCTGAGCCTGCCGTGGGTCCCGGCCGGGAGATGGGGCCTGCGGGGGACTTGTCCCGGGCTCTGGCCGGGACAAGCCGGTTCCTGGCTCGGCTGCAGTGATGGAGTTCACCGGGGACTGCCGAGTAAAGAAGGAGAAAAAGCTCTGGACCTGCGGCGATCTGAGACAGCAACTATACTCTCCAGAGCAGCCATGAGGAATTTTCTGTTGCAGACGGCTCCAGCTCCTGCACCGGCAGAGGTCACAGAACCATCTACAAAGCCTGGGCAAGATTTTAAACTTTTCATTACCCAGATGAGACTTGCAGATTAATCCTTTTATCCAGAGAGAGAAAAAGAGAGTGATCAACATGAAAAGAGACTTTATAAACTATCAGAGACAGTAAAGAAAAGAATTAAGTTTCAGAAAAAGTAGAGAATAAGAAGATGCTTTTATGAGCTGAAATACCTTTCTGTTGAGACTATGGAAATTGACAATAAGGTCTTGAAAACACTCCTTCAATTCATGACAGTATATAGGGAGGAATAGAGTGTTCAAAGTGTAAATTTTGAGTAAAAAGTAGAGTGATTGTGATACAGTGAAGTGCTGGAAACAGTGAAGCGAAAATTTGAAGCCTTGGGAGGCAATGAGAAAACTGTTTTCTAGTGAAGCTCACAGAGACAGATGAAGAAGACTTTTGCCTTTGAATAACTCATCCTTAAAATGACATCCCTAGACTCATGGCCCATACACACCTCAGAGTGATGTAAAATGGGAGGAGTGAGCTCTAATAACAGCAGTTCTGGACAGCTGACATCAGGGCAATAGAAAACTATAACAAAAGTAGTTTTCTTGTGAGAAACTCCATAAATTAACAGAAAGAGACTTCTGTTTCTCTACAAAAGCTAGTGAAAAAGACTGTAGCAGGAATTGGGACTGTTTTAACCATCAAAGTTCCAAAGTTTTTGTCTCTGTTATCATGTGAACAAGAGAATGGTGGGTAGTAGGGGATAAAAAGGAGTTTTCTGGAAGTTTATTCTGGTGTTATTATTGTAGTTTGTTAATAAACTTTCTTTATTCCTTTTAAGTTTTATGCCTGTTTTGCTCTTGTTCTAATCCATATCTCACAGCAAGAAATAAGTAATTTTTTTAGTTACTGGTTTAAAACCATGACAGCCAGCCTGGGAGGCAGGGGGAAAAGATTCCTGGGCTTGGCTCTGTATTTGGGAGGAGATGAGAGCAGAGAGAGGGAGGAGTTGAGGAAGATGAGAGGGCTGTATAGGCCTGGCAAATGGAGAGATGGAGCAATCAAAGAGCCAGCTGCACATACACAAAATGCATCTTCTTGTGCTCATTTGCTTGAGTGCTGCACATAATCACCACAGGATGCAGAAAAAACTCTTTTGTCCTTAATTTCCCACGGCTGAATAGCATGGACAACAGCAGGTGGTTTAGAGCAGGGGCATCTTCCTCTGTCTACAGCGTTCAATTGCTGTATGTCACTGGCTAACCTGGCATGAGTGTGCCACAAGCTCCTTCATTATTTTGAGCTCAGAACTTCAATAGAACTCTCCCACAGCAAGGGCATGGAGCCTGCCAGAGGGCATTTCTTTGGCTGATGTGGCCAGCACAGAATGTGCTAAACCTTCATGTCGCTGCACCTTCTGCAGGAAGGGTGGTGCAGCTTAGGCACTTCACTGCTCATCCACTGTGGCTGTGACTGGATTGGCTCCTGACCCAAGCACACATGTGCTTCCTGCAGGAGCCCTGTTCCAGAGTGATTAGCCCTGTTCCAGAGTGATTCTGTTTTGGGAATAATCTTGTGGAGAAAAGGCTGCAGAGAGCAGGATACTGGTGAAATTCCTCAGGGCCAGTGCAGCCTCATCCTGCAAGAAGAGTGGCCCAAAGAAAGCTGCCAAGAGCCTTCTTACAAGGGCAGGTCCTGATAGGATGAGGGGCAATGCCTTTACAGTGACAGAGGGTAGCTTTAGAGGCCATCATAGGAAGGAATTCTTGATTGTGAGGGGGGCTGAGGCACTGGCATGTGTTGGAGTCTGAGACACAGAGTGTGTGGCCTTGTCTCTGATGCCTGGCTCTGAGATCCAGGAGAACACTGAATTTCATATAACATGAAATTTATGGGCATGTTTTCATGGTGATACATGAAAACAACCGTTGAAGTTAGAAAAGCTAAAAGTGTAAGTGTGTAGATTAGAGACTTTTCTTAAGTCACTGAGTGAAAAAGTTAGTTTAGGGTATAAACTAGTTTAGAAAACAGAAGACAAGATGGAGGATTTAGGGTGTTGTCTCTTTTCCTTCTTTCTTCTTCATTTTCTTCTTCTATAGGTTTTTGGGTAATAGTAGGTGATTGGATAGCAAATGCCACAGTGACACAGGTGATGGGTTATTGGGTCATTAAGAAAAATAATATACATGTCTATTGTGAATTGGATAAAGGTAAGTATAAAGTTAAAAATGCTGCTCCATTCCAGGCCATTTTGTGCCATCAGAGCCAAAATGTGCCAAGTTGTAGTGATTTGAACTTGTGCAGAAAGTCTGGAGAGACCTGCCAAGTTTTGTGATAACATCCTAATAAACACGAGAAACAAGATCCTTACGAGCTTTGGAGTTTTCTTCCTGACCCGGAGAACTGAGATAAACAGAACTTCCTGTGGGGGAGTATTCTGAAGGAGCTCGGCTCAGAAGAGACTGAGAAATACAGATGTAAGAAGTGCAAGCTGAATCAGAAAAACAGATTAAAAAGTAACAGCATGAGTTCCCCAGAGTAGCTGCGGATGCCCCATCCCTGGAAGAATTCAATGACAGGTTTTGAGCCAGGCTCTGAGTAACTGGGTCTAGAGCAAGGTGTTCCTGCCTGTAAGAACTAGATGATCTTTAAAATGCCTTCCAATCCAAACCATCCTATGATTCTAGTATCTGTGGAGTACATTGAGTAAAACTCTGCCTTCTTCAGCAGCACTGTTGATCTCCAGTTGTCATTCATTAATTAGCATAAATGAGTGTCAATATACTGTCATATGCAGAATTCCACATTTGGTCTTTGATAATAAATGAAAATGAATCCAGCAATTTAGTAATAGTTAGAACAGATACATCTATACCATAATATCAAATTGATACAAACAATCACTTAATCAAATACATGCATTAGTGCCTTCTAAATAATGTGGCTAGTACTCATGGGGAGAGAGCAAGTACTGTATACAAAGTATAAATATATATCTGAAAGTATAAAAATATAAAAATGGCTGTCATAAAGTATTCTGTCTTGGAGTATCTGTGACAGACAGCTGGCAAGGCATTGAACTCTTTGTTGTGAGCTCTTCACTTCTTGCATATAGAAGAAGAATTCTAAGCCTTTCTTTTGGAGAAAAAAAACAACATACTGTAGAAATTCCTTCCATTTTGTACCTAGACTGGGTGTTCTGACTCACAGCAAAGGCAGGATTAGGTGAAGATGGAATAGACCAGACAGCATGCCTCATTTGATCATTCTGAGTTGGACTGAGTCAGGATTTAAGCAACCTTTTCTCCTCTCTACATAGGGCTACTTCAGGCATCTCCAGCTGAAATTAATCTACAGCAGCCTGTAAGGCTTAACAAAATTCTGGCTGTGTCTTGTTCCAAATTCATTCTTTGCAACTTGAGGTAATGTGGAAGGCATGAAGACTACTGTCTCAATCTGATTATTCTTGAGATTTTTACAAAGCCTACTGGAGTGTTTACTATCCTGGCCTTCAATTACAAGAATATTTTGACTCAATCTCTAGATAACCTGAATCCTAAAGTCATCTTACAGGTTTATGTTTTTGAAGTAATAAGATTTTTAAGGTAACCTGGATCTTTTTAAAACATTGACTATTTGTTATTAATGCTGTACCCTCAGAGCCCTACCATTTGCATTTCTTGATTTTCACCCAAGGATGTGATGCAAACAGAGTTTTAACAGAGAGACAAGGTACATTCCCACATACACATACTTATAGAAGATGGTAAAAGACAGCATTTTTACTTCCCACAGTTTTGTCTGCATTTTTGGAAGTCTGTCTGGGCAGAGATCTATACCATAAATCACTCATATCTGTCTTGAAATTGCCAGACCTCCTGTTTTGAGATTACAACACTTAGTCCCCCAAATTCTGTGCAATAAAGCTCCCCACATTCCTCCTTGGTACATTTCAGGCTTATGTGAAGTTGTCAGTATTGGGATTTGAGTAATTGTAAACTGTGCCTAATGCTTCATAAAGGAATGGTTTAGATCACCCATACACGCATCCAGAACATACTGGAGTTGTGCGTATTTGATTCCTTTCATGTGCTGAGACAGGATTCTTTATTTGAAAAGCCATTTCTGGTAATGAAAGCAAACCCTGCCCCTCTGACATTTCTGCCAGTGTGTAGCAGTAGGATGTGCAGCACTAAAGCCCAGAGGGAGACAATCTATCTTGTTCCTGTTTTTTCTCACCTTGATAGATCAGAATTCCAGGCTGGCATCCCTGCCTGCCTTTATCCCTGCACACAGAGGGGAGCTGTTGCTAAGCAGCTGTGGACCATGCACCACAGCCTGGTTTGAAAATGAAGAATTAACTAGATTAGTTTTGATGAAGACAAAGAACATGCAGAAGAAAGGAAAAAAGTATAATAAAAGGCAGCTAGCTGTGAT